ACGTCGTCAGACACCAAATGTCAGTGTCTGACTCCTCATACTACATTTTTACACAAATAGAACTTGTTTTACGGTTCTTCAGACCTCTTAGCCTGTTAGTTCCTATGAATTTGATGACTGTGTTACTTACATACGTGGGCAGGTGATTTTTCAAATGTGGAGTAAATGAAGTGTCCAAACAGGCATATTCACAGAGACAGAAATAGGGTAATGGGTGCCAGGAGTTGGGGGGGGGAGGGGAGACAGGAGTGGCTGCTAATGCATCCAGGGTCTCCTTTTGGGATGACAAGAATGTTCTGGAACTGGATAGAAGTGGTTGAGCAACATTGTGAAAGTCATGAAGCCAAACCTGTTGCAGTTAAGTCAATTTCAATCCTAGCAACCTCATGTGTACCAGATGAGAATTGTAGTCTTGGCTGTGATCTTTACAAAAACATATTGCCAAAACCTCTCCTGCAGCATCTTTCTTTCCAGGTAAGTGGGGATTGTTGAGTGAAAACCAGTGACATCACCCATGAATGCAGTTGTTTTTGTTGTTAGCAGTTGAGGGCTTAACTGCCGCCAGGGTTCCATATGAATTCAAAGTGAAGTCAAAGTCATTGCAGTGGGGCCAGAACCACTCTTAGCTGTCCCTCCAGTGGGTTTTCAGAGGGTGTAAATCAGACGAGAGGTGACTGCCCATTTTTCTCCTGTGGGGTAAGTGGCAGATTTTAACCACTTGCCTTTGAGTTGGTCGCCCAGAGCTCTACCCTTACGAATTGTTATGTGCTTTCATGTAACAGCATAGCATCAGAACTGATTCATAGCTGACCCTCCAGTGGGTTTTCAGAAGCAGTAAACTGTATGGGAAGAGACTGGCCATCTTTCTTCTAAGAGCAGCTGGTGGATTTGACCTGTGGGCCTTTGGGTTGGCAGCACAGCTCCCTACCACTAAGCCAGCAGAACTCCCTACTTATGCATTAGTGCCACAGAATTGTTCACTTTAAAAATGGTGACATTGTTTGACTTTTACTAAATAAAGGACAGGAGGTAAAAACGAAGGAACTCAGAATAAAGTATAGAGGCCAGCTAGTAAGAAAAGAAAATAAACACTTCTTAGGAAGTCTCAGAGGTCAGGGTGGCCAGGCCCTCTGAACAAGTCTGGGTTGAGTCATTCCCCGTGGGATGGGAGGACAGGCAGGCGGGGAGGAGGGGGATGGGGAATGAGGGGGCGGGGCTCCTTAAGAGGCAGCTGCTGTCTGCTAAGGGCTTGCTCAGCATGCCTCCTGCCCAGCACTCACCTGCCCAGGCCCTCTGCACTTGCTTTCCCCAAGTTTCCTTGTCCCAACCCTCCTGCCTGAAAGGTGGTTGGGATGGAGTTGACCCCTATCAGAGTACAGGAGGCTGAGTGGCTGGGGACACTTTGGGAGTCTCTGCTGAGAGTTGCCCCCACCCAAGGGGAGAGAAAAGGCCACACAGCATGAGGACAAAGGGATGGCTGGGCAGAAGGGTGCATAAACCCACAAGCAGGTCAGTGTTTAAGGTGAACTGCTGAGTGGGACAGGGCTCTCTTCACCCCAGGGGCTGAGACATCTGTGGGTTCAAATGAGGCGGTTCTTCTGGAGTTCTGAGAAATCAGCATCTGAGTTTCTATGGCAACAAGAGGCCATGGCTCCACAGTCCACAGGGGACCAGCTGATCCTGACTTTGACTTGCTGGAAGCAGTGGGGTTGAGGAGGAGGGGCAGGGCCCAGGGGTGCCGTCAGCAAAGAGGGGTTGAAGGTAAGCAAGGAGGGTACCACATAGGGTATTTTTAGGCACTGAACACAGCTCTGAACTATTTCCATGGCCACTCCCCAGAGCGGGCTGGGCAACTATTTCAGTGCCCAGTTCCAGCAGAGGCGGAGGGAGCGGTGAGTCACTGAGTTGGGCGGGCAGCCGCAAGGCTGAGCCAGGGGGACAGAGCGCAGGGAACACGCAGCCTGACCTTTCAGGCCCCCTCATGTGCCACCTCCACAGCTGAGAGAAGAGGTAAAGGGTGCCGGTGAGGCTGTAGACCCCAAAGCATTCACTGAGCACTTGCTCTCTACCTGGCTCCACTCTTAATTTGGTTACCTCACCCTCTCATGATCAACATGATACTATCTTAGCATTTAACCTGGGGGAAACTGAGACCCAAAAAGCTCCCCTGACCACTCAGCCTACTCAATCCATTTGTCTTGGGTGAAGCTATAATTGGGAGAACATAAGGAAGCAGGGAGGGACTTGGCCCCTGACTAGTCATCATCTGATTTAGTGGGTGACACAGCTGACTGGGAGAAGGTGAGGGGTGAAACAGTGAAGTTCAAGAACATGATTCAGATCCTGGATGACGTGTCACTCACCTTCAACCTGCCCGAGGTTGGCAGCTGGCTGGCACACACTTTGTGATAAACATGGATTCTAACTAGCACTTATGCTGAGCATTTTTTTTTTTTTCATCCGTGAAATGGGTAGCTGAGCCCCACTTGGCTGGGTTGGACAAAGCTCTGGCAATCCAGGGGCTGAAACCAGGGGAGCCCCACACCTTGGCCTTTCACCTGTGAGACGGGCAGAAGGTGGAGATACTAGAGTGTCATGTGAGGTGCAGGTGTGATGGGAGGCCACTGGCTGCCTCCCAGGGCCCTGCCCTGCCCTGCGGCCTTGCCCTCTGCAGCCCCAAGGACTTGTGCCTGCTCTCCCCCTAGGCCGAGTGGCTTCTCTTAGCTTTCAGGACATGGCTGGACTCTGTCCCTCCCCCCCAAGGTGCTCCTGTAACTGTGTCCTATGGGGACCTCCCGCTAATTCCTACCATGAGTCCCTGACTCCCCTTTCTATTGGTACCCACCAACCCCTGCACTAGGCAATGCTTGCCTTGTGCAGGCTTCTCCAAAGGCCATTACAGCCACTCCTTACCTGCCCCGCTGTCTTGTCACCATGGGGCCTTTGCACACCTGTCCCCAAAGCCTAGAACACTTTCCTCAGAAGACTGGGTTATATACCCCTCAAACCGCCCCCAGTAGGATCAACTTCTCTTTTACTTACCTCTCACACCACCTGACCTCCCTGGCCAAGGATTCATCTCCCCTGTGGGCTCTCTAACCTGGATGAGAATGGGCAGCTCACTCAGCTCTGATGGCTGGCCCTGCCTGTCTCACAGAGGTTGTGGACACTGGGCCAAATGCTGAGCTTGTTGGGGGGTCCAGGGCAAGCCTGGACTGCTGAGCCCTGGGTTGTCAGGCCCACGGCTGGGAGAAAGGGTGATCAGCTCAAAAGACCACTGTAAAAAATAAAGAGGTGTATGCAGGCGGGGGTGTCATTTTAGGGCCAAGGCTCTGGCATTGTCTGTGACCCACGCTCTCACCTGTTCAAAAGGCACTGAGACAGACAAGGTGAAGGACAGCTGACTGGCTGGGGACTTGCGGTCAGAGCACATCTTGGCACTTGGACTCTCCACCTTCTCAAGTGCTCCTCGTCAACTGCCCAAGTGGCCCCACACCAGACAAGTGCCAGGCCACGGCCAGACCAGGATGGGCCCCAAAGGCTCCGGAAGCCTGGGCTGAGGAGCCAGGCAGCACTTTTGGTTTCTCTTCTCATCCACGGGCTGTGGAGGTGGCTTCTGGAACCCGCCAGGGAGGAGACTGAGCCCAGACACCCCCACAAAGCTCACTCTGAGTCGGGAGGCTTCCTACACCTCAGCAGAGGTGGCCTGGGTGCTGGCGTCATGGGCGGGGAGCTGGGCCGCCAGCTGGAAAGGTCAGCCACGAGGGGCTGATGACGGAGGTACAGCCGGTTCCAAGCAGGGCTGGGCCGAGCCCCTGGTCTGAGTGCATGCATGCACACAGGGGAACCTCCAGAGCTCCTGACCCAACGATGAAGAGAAACCACACCCCAACCCAGCCAGCTGGGGTCTGACCTACCCCCTCACTAACTACAATCAGTGCCTAACTTTCTCATCAGGGTCCCTCAGTCCTAGGGGACGAGCCCACCTGTGTCCACTGAGAGTGGAGGCAATTTAGGTTAGGTGTCAGTTTCTAGGAGCTGGTGGCAGCTGGCCCACATATGGGCAGGGTGGGCTGGCACAGAACTGCTGGGGCAGGGGACATGGGACAGGCGGCCAACGGAGGTAGGTCTAGCAACTGCAGTGCAAATATACACACAGGGCGTGGGCTCTGGGTCCAGATGTGGAGCACCACGTCCACATGCCTGCACTTGATCTAGAACGGCCAGCCGGCTCCCGCAGCCCACAGGGACAGGGACGGCTGCTTCTGCACTCCTGCCACCGCGGGCTGCATTCTTCCAGAACTCCTGCGTGTCTAAGGAGGGATCCTGGTACTGACTCTGACAGGGAGGCACACCAATAAGGGAATCCTGTTGGCAGGGGGCTGGATCTGCATCTATTCATCCCTCTACTTCTCCCACTCTATTGGCCAGGGATGGTGACGTGCTGACCTCCAAGTCCTCAGCTCTTAAGGAAACAGTGATCTGGAGACTCAGGCTCAGTCAACTTGCAGTTGCCCAAAAGGGTGTTGTTTGCAGAGCTCAGAGGGAATCAGAAGTGCAGGACTCCAACTTTATTCTGGGAATTCAACATGGGACCCTCAGACTGTTCCAGGCATGTGCTGGTGTCTGTGTGTGAGGAGCCGACCATCCGGGGCTGAGTTTAAGGCACTCGATGCCACCCACCTCAGCATGCTCAGATGAAAAGAAATGCTTGGTGCCAAAGAAGCCTACGTCACGTGCAGGGTCTCCTGGGAATTTGGTGGCTGGTCCCACAGCGACTTCACAAAATAAAAAATATTGATAGCCTTGTACAACTTGCATTGCTGCTTAAAAAAAAGGAGGGGGTTTCCTAAGGAAGAGGGTCTAAAAGGTTAACACCAGCGGACTCTTCCGACCCCGGCTGCCTCTTCTTCCTGAGCAAGCGAGTGTGCCAGCCAGAGGTGACCCCTGAAGTCGGGCGTGCCCTTGGCGCCTAGTGTCTGTGGACCAGCAGGTACAGCTCACTGCTTGCCTGCCTGTCGGCCTGGCTTCTTCTCCTGCTGGCCCCTGCCAGTGCCTGGGATCCCGCCACGGCCACGGCCACCAAACACACCTGTGAACAGAAAGAAGGGCTGCAGGGACACTGGGGTCCAAATCCCCACCCTGGGGGTCCTGTACACACAGGGGCCAAAGTCAGTGCCCTAAGACTTGGGGTCAAGCAGTCTAACCCTTCTGGGCCAGGTTCCTCATCTATGATGGAAGGGCATGGTGTAGAATGGAGATGTAAGTGGATCATCTGACTTGAGGCCTGGTATAGGTAATGCTCTGGAAGGTTCTTCTCTGATGAGAGACGACCTGGCCCCCAGGAGCCTCAAGGATGACTGGGAAGAGCAGAAGATGTCTTAGGTCTGGGATATGGGGACAAGGGCAAAAGGGCTTCTATGAGATGGAGGGGACAGAGAAGGGGACCCACATATGACTGTCCAAGAGAGAAAAGTGTTTCTGCACATTCAGGCCTATCAGGGCAGGCCCTCGGCTAGCCTGAGTCCTGGGGAAGTTGATGCGCTCTGATCCCCATAGCCAGGGGTAGGGGCTCATGGGGGGTGAGGCTAACCAGCCTCAGCTGGCTGACAGACACCCTCTCTTAAAGCTTTAAGTAAGCAGGCAGGAAGGGGAGGGGCCGCTCCAAGGCTGGCAAGTGTCTCCCATAACCACAGTGACGGCACCAGCCAGGAATGTCAATATTCAACTTGGAGCCCAAGATAAGGCAGGGAAGGGGGGGGACCCACCTCGCCCAGCGCCCCCCATGCCACGGCCTTTCTGCTGCTTCTGCTGCTGCAGGCCACCACGCCCTCGGCCCTTGGCCACCACCTCGTCCTTGACCATGTCAATGATCTCATCAGGGATGCGCAGGTACTTGATAGTGCTGCCGCGGATGTAGCACTCGGGCATTCGCCAGAACTTGTCCCCATCCTGTGAGAGGGCAGGGGCCAGTCACGGTGTGCTCCAGACGCATGGACACCAGGGAGCTGTCACCTTGCACAGGACTAAGCATGGTCCAGCCTGTCCCTGGAAGCTTTGAGTTCTTGGTCCTAGAAATTCCAGCGGAGAGGGCCCCTCTAGGGGGAGCGTGGTGCAATAGTCCATCTTATAGCAGAGGAGGGTTGTGCCCCTTCCTCCTATACTCTAAGTTCACATAGATACAGGTTCTGAATGGAATGTCAGACCCTCGCTGACCAACTCAGCCTCTATCCATGACTGGAAGAGACCGGGCCCAGGGTGGGAGGCCAGTGCCCTCCCAGCCTCCACGTTACCCACCATGCAGAGATGAGGATAGAGGCACACCGCCCCATCAGAGAGGGCCTGCCATGAGAGGCCAGCTGTCCAGACCAACAGCCTGGAGGTTGGGGCCTTTCCCTTGGTGCTCTCCAACAACTGAAGAGAATTTGCCTACAATTTGTAGGCATCTAGAAAATTCCAGCTGCTTACAGTCACTAACTTAGCAACCGTGTATTCCAAGAGTGGATATGGGAGTGCCCAAGAGACCAGCTGGTACCACCAAGCCTCACAGATGAACAAAACACAGTACAGGTGCCTTCCGATCCTAAGACATGCCATGAAGAGAAAGTGGGGCACAGGGCCAAGTCTGGGGGCCACGTAGATCCCTATGCCTGCCTGCCAGCCAGGGCAGTCATGGATAGGGAGGACTGACTTGGCAAGGAAGATGGCTCAGTCTGGAACCACCGTGCATGGACATGTGGAGCCCCCAAGGCAGTGGCTACTCCACTCAGGCCAGTCCAGCCCCAGCCAACCAGCAGCCAGGAACTTCCTTGGAGCCACTGCCTTCATAAGTGATCCGTACAAGGGCAGGCAGCCCAGAGGCCCTGGGAGCCACCACTGCCCCCGCTTCCAGGTCCCATACACACTCTTCTGAGGTCAGACCTGCCCTGGAGCACAGTGGCCTCACCCCAGCATGGAGATTTGCAGACACTGGTACCAAAGGGCAGACCTTTCAGGTCAGATGCATGTGCACAGCCCTAGCAGTGAGGCAGGACAGGAGCCTGATCCTGACCATGCTCTTACTCAACACCCCCACAAATGCAAAGTCTGGGTGCTCCAAGGGTCTTGAAGGTTTGGCTCTGCTCTTGAGCCCCATTCCCACCCTGCCAGTGGCCACAGGCTCCACCTGTGCAACCCAGGACAATGACAAGTACTGAGTGGGAGTGTGAACAGAACCCCAACTCTGCCTAGAGGCCCTAGGGAAGGGCTCACACCCCACCAGTGTGTGATGGCATGTGTGTAGGGTCCAGTATGGAGGTGGAGCTCACCCGGGACGTGCAGATGACCTCCCGCAGGTTGATGTTCATCCAGTTGTCACAGCTCACCAGGTGCCCGTTGTACGTCTCCCCATTCTTCAGCTCCACGAGCTAGAAGAGACCCAGCCAGTGAGTGAGCCCTCAGGACTGGACCACAGTCCCTCTCCCAGGGCCTGGGAAGGGCCCTCTCACGGTACGCTGCTTCCTTCTTTCACTTCTAAGGGGATTTCAGGGAAGTCCCGGGATGGTACAAACAGTTAAGCTCTCAACTGCTGATGAAAGGTTAGAGGGCTCAACCTGTAGAAAGACTCCAAAGACAGGTCTGACAATCTGCTTTTGAAAGATGGGGACCTTGAAAACCCCCAGAGCAGGAATCCACAGGCAGTTAACGACAGGTCTACACCCACAAGAACTGAAGACAAAGAGGAAACCCGGATGCCAGCTTTCAAAGGGGAAACAATCCAAGTGTTTGTCAACGAATAAAGAAATACACAATCCACACGATGACTACTACTGAACCAAAACAAACAAACAAAAGCAACAAAAACCAAACCTGACTCCTCCCAAGAACAAAGCACTGACAGAACCTACAAAGTGTGTAAAATTTGAAGAGCATTTGCTCAGTGACAGAAATCTCACACAAGGCCTGACTGTCCTGATGGGAGTGTCCAGAAGAGACAAATGCAGGTGAATCCATGCTGGCAGACAGATGAGTGGTTTCAAGGGCTGGGAGGGGGGAAGTGACTGCTAATGAGCTGTTGTTGTGTACTAACGAGTCAGAACTGACTCAGAGCTGCCCCTCCAGCCAATTTTTGGAGTTTTGCACGGGAGATTGCTCATCCTTCTCCTGTGGAAGCAGCTGGTGGATTCGTATTATGTGCCTCTGGGATTTCAGTACAACTTCTTACAACTAGGTCACCAGAGCTCCCCACCAATGGGAACAGGGTTTCTTTTTTAAGAGTGATTAAAAACTTTTCAAGTTAGATTTACACACTCATGTTTATTGCTGTTTTGTTCACAACAGCAGAGTCAGAAACAACCCAAGTGACCTGTCAACAAATAAATGGATAGAGAAGCTGTGGTATATTCCCACAATGGAATACTAAGCTGCACTGAAAAACAAAGAACTCACGAAATAGTCAAAATGGGTGAACCTGGAGGACATTATCCTGAGTGAAATAACTCAGTCACAAAAGGACATATACTGCATAGTGCCACTGTTGTAAAATGGGACTGACATCGGGGTTGGGGGGAACCTAAGAAAAGAGGGGATAAATAATGTATACTACATTGAAACAGATGAGGAAGAGAACTATTTAAAAGGAATATAGGATTAGGTATTATTTTCATGGCAAGATCACAGAAAAAGAAATGCATATTAAAGTGGACTGTGGCCTGGGGGGGAATTGTATAACAATTAAAGGTTTTTGTTTTTGTTTTTTTTTTACTTTTCAAAGAGAAAAGCCAACTGGGGGGAGCTGAGTGGCTTGCGACTCACAGGGACCCTATGTACAACAGCCCTAAATCCTGCTCTGTCCTGTAAGAATCTCACTGTCTCCGACATAGTCATATTTTTTAAAAAAAATCATTAATTAAAAACCCAACTTTTTCAGTTAGATGATGATGACGATAGTCACGTGACCTGTGAACATATCATATGCCACCAATCTGTGCACTCAAAAAGGCTGGTTCTCACAACCTGTGAATTATATTCCAAATAAAAAATTTAGATGAAAAAACGACACACCGATGTGGAAAGATGTTGGTAACAAAAAGCGCTTGGGGACAATGTGAACCCGTGGAATTCCACCTATATAAGCAGAAATGATGTGCACATCCCCACATACTGACCGCTGGATGTGCACATCCAAGGGACAAGCTAAGGGGCAGGGACAGGGACGAGGGAGGTGTCCATGTCCCAAACGTCTCCCCTGCTTGAGCTGCTTTAACAAGCAGGATCCTCCTGATGCAGCAGGTATCACCCTGGGCGTGTGCTGCTCCTGGTAGGGGCAGGGATGAGTTGTGTGTGGCCAACAAGCAGGAAGGGAACTGGCTGAAGGTTTTATCCCCTTGGTCAGATGCCTCACTCTCCCAGAAAACCCCCCAAAGGAGCATGCTCACCATAGGGTGATTCTGGGCCGTCTTCAGCAGCGACAAGGGGAGCTGAAAGACAAACAAAGGCACAGGTTAACCTCTCTGGTTCTGGGCATGGTCAGTTCACAAAGCTCCAACTCCTCACACAAAACCCCAACTTCCCACTCATGGAACTGAACGGCCCTGATCCCTAGTTCGGGAGACAGCACAGCACTCCACTCCACTCCACCCCTCGGGGTAGCCATCTAATCCTGGTGACTCTCCACCTTGGACCCCTCTTTGTAACCCCTACTTACACACATCACCCAAACAGAGCAAACACTGCTGTCCATAGTTCTTTTTTTTTCAGTTGGTGGTTTGTTTTTTTTTTTTAAATTTAATATTAATTTCAATGAAAATTTACAGAGACTTTGGATTTCCATTCATTCATTGTTGCACTTTTCTCCCCTCCCAACCCTCCCCCCTAGTACACTACCCTCTTGGAAAATTCTTTCATTGTTTTACAATCCCTCCACCCAGGTCCAATCCACTATGCAGCCTTTGTTCTGGACTCCTGTCATGATAAAAATACCTAATCACATATCCCTTTTAAACAGTTTTTCCCCTCATCTGTTTCAATGCAGTACACATTATTGAACCCATCTTTCTCAGTCTCCCCCCAACCCCGATGTCAGTACTGTTTTACAACAGTGGCACCATGCAGTATTTGTCCTTTTGTGACTGAGATATGTCACTCAGCATAATGTCCTCTAGGGTCACCATTTTGAATAATATTGCATGAGTTCCTTGTTTTTCAATGCAGCATAGTATTCCATTGTGTGAATATACCACAGCTTCTCTATCCATTGTTTGTTGATGGGCACTTAGGTTGTTTCCAGCTCCTGCTATTGTGAACAAAGCCAAGATAAACATGGGTGTGGACCGTCCATAGTTCTAATTTGACAAAGGGTCCACACACTTCTCTGGCCCATGTTTTAGGCTCAATGCTGATGCACAAGGGTCTGGGCCTTTCATTTTCAGTGTTTGCTATGGCTACTTTCATTCCCAATTTACAGATGAGGAAACTGAGGAAATCAATAGCTTGCCTGGGTTGGGAGGCTCAGTGAGCAGCAGTCAAGCTCATTCTGCCTCTCTAAAGCCAAGGTACACCCACACATCAATGCCTTGACCACCCTCATTGGACCAAGAATAACTGACAGAGCACGTGAGAAGTCAGCAACCACCAGGAAGGGGGAGAAGAATCCACAGAGTTGATATAGTTCTGCTGCTGAAGGTAGATAAAGATTCAGACTGTCTTTGGTACAACTCGTCTAGATAAGACACCACCACTCCTACCCACGTGGCTGTGTGGTACTGAGGTGGTTTGCATGCTGCTGTCATGCTGGAAGCAAGGCAGTCCATATTTTAAATGCCGCAGGGTCACCCAAGGTGGACACGTTTCAGCAGAGCTTCCAGAAGAAAGCAGACTAGGGAAAAAAGCTTGGCCGTCCACTTCTGCAAACTAGCCAGTGACAGTTCACAGAGAATGTCGTCCAGCTCCTGTGCTTGGGGGACATCTCAGGAAAATCAAGATTGGGAAGATACCAGACACCAGCAAGGGCTCAGGTGACATCAGAGAGAGGAACTGTTAATGGATAATGGAAATGGACTAGAACTTGTCAACTGAGGATGACACAGGACCAGGCAATTCTGTTGGACATGGGCTGTGAGCCAAGCCCGAGCTGAATGGATGTCCCAGTTGGTACAACGGGGGTCAAGTTCACCAGCAATCTCCTCCCATGCAATTTGCAGCCTCTAAAAACCCTTGGAGGGTTGAACATGAGTTGCTTCTGACTCGTAGGCAATGAGTGAGTCTCATTGTGGGATTTTGTTTTTCACTTTATCTTCCTGCCATCAGTTGCCATGGAGATGACTGACTCATGGCAGCCCCACATGTGTAGGGTTGAATGGCTCCACAGCGCTTTCAGTACCCTGACTTTTGGCAAGCAGATCTTAAGAAGCCTGTCTCTCCAGGTCCCTCTGGGTGAGTTTTAAACTGTCAACCTTTCAGCCAGTAGCTGAACACTTAACTGTTGGCACCACACCTAGGATTGGTTTTTTTATAACAAGCACATTTTTACAGGAACCTGGAAAGAGAAAATGTGCTCTTTCCATTTAGGACAGAGAGCTTAGTCTGTGAGGGCCCCTCACCTTCAGTGTGCAGCCTGATCCCAGGTTAATGCTGCTCACTCTGGCAGCCCCAATCCTCTGTCACATCTCTTCGCTGACTTTGAGGTTCCCAGCCTGCCTCTGGCCCACAGGCCCCTCTCTTAGGAAGTCCTGTCTCATCCTTGCACTTTAGGGTTTCGAGGGATGATCCTACAAGGGGTGTCTACCCCTCCTCACCAGCTGAGAAAAGGGGCTAAAGGGGACCCTCAGGCCTTTCATAAGAGCTACCGTGTGGGAGGCAGTCAGCACTAGCAGGAAGCCAGGCCCCAGTTCACTTCCTCAGCTCGCTTCCTGGAAGGCCAGATAAGGAGGAAGCAGGGGCGACTGCTGCATGCTAAGTGAGAGGAGGGCAATGGGCCTAGCTGTTTCCAAAAAACTGGCTGCCTTTGAGTCAACTCCGATTCACAGCGACCCCATGTGTGTTAGGGTAGGATTGCACTCCTCTGGGTTTTCAATGCCTGAGGGTTGAGAAAGAAATCATCAAGCTTTTCTTCTAAAGTACCTGCAGTGGATTCTCTACCTTTCCTCGTTTATCAGCTAGTCTGAGAAACTCTGCCTCAGGTGAGTGCAGGAGTCACAGACTCCACAGGATGAGACCCCTGAAGACGCAAGGCCCTCCTCCATGACTGCCAGCTGGCTTTAGGTGACCAGGAATGGGCGTTGTGCCAATCTTCTAATGCCACAGAGCCTCCAGTATCCAAAGGGGAGTGCCCCACTGGGGACATGGCCAGACTCTGGGAAAGTGGAGGGAGACTAATGTCTTCTGCTGTGGGCGCCTGATCTGGATGTACTCCTACGGGGTTCACGCAATCTACAGAGGAGTGATGGTCACCCTCAGACCACCACCTGCCTCAACACAGCCAGGAAGGGCAGATATCTCCCTATGAAGCAGGTGGAGGGAATGCTGGGACACAACAGGGTCAGCTGTGCTCTGCTCCTTCCTCTCCAACAGGTGTCCCAGGCCAGGCCTGCCAGGCTGCAACCACTCAGCCTCGGCCCCCCACACTCACCGTTCTGCCCCCTCCTCCCCCGACCACACACTCATTCCTAATAGCTCCGTCCGGGAGCTGTGGTTTCTGCATCTCCACATTCTGCTGTTTGTCACCATGAAGGGACTCATCCAGTCTTTAATTATCTTGTTTATCACCTGCCTTCGTGGCTAGACTGGAAACACCAGGTCTCCCCTGGACTGGAAAACTCAGAGGGCGTGGGCTTTGCTGAGCTCAGAGTCAAGCCCAGGAGGGACAGCAGTAAGAATATACTGAATAAATAAAAGAGGGATATAGGCACACTCCCCAAGGAAGTTTCCAGGGTGGGCTGGGATATGCTCACTCCTTCAAAGAAGGAAAAGGAGGGTCTCAGAAAGGGAGACCACCGCCTGTCATTCTGTCATACTGTGGTGGCTTACATGTTGCTGGGAGTTATGTCCTATGCTCAGCCTGGCAGAGAAGTCACAGCAGTTGCTTCTAGACTCAGAACAAGGAGGCCTGGTAACCTACCCTAAACTCAACCAATCAAAACCAAATGGACTATGACACAATGCTGCCCAACGTGCTTGCTTTGGTGGACACAGCCTCAAGACCGTCAATGACTGGAAGAAGACATTATTGCTGGTGACAGAGAGGGTCATGGATTGACACAACAGCCACAATGGACTCAAACACGCCATCAACTGTGAGGAGAGAGGACCAGGTAACACTCTGTTCTGTTGTACACACAAGGCTGCCAAAAGTTAGGGTCTCATACAATGAATTGTAAACTTGCAGAGAAGAGGAAGATGCATGAGTGCTAACACAGGCAGGTAAACAAGGCTATTAGAATAGAAGGTAGGAATCCCCCCCCCACCCCCATGTCAGGACAGAGAATTCTTTCCCTGCCACCTGAAGCTGAGGTCCAAACCCTCAAGGATGAATCTCAGGGGCTCCTCATCCCAAAAACCTTCTGGAATGTCAGGAGGGACCTTCCCTGGAGTCCATCTCTGAACACAGAATGAATCTATCTCAGCGTGCTCACATATTGAGGTAAACTTCTAGAAGGTCGGAGATGGAGGATTACCCACCTCAAAGGTGGCAACAGCACGGATCTATGCTTTGCACCAGCACTAATCTAGGCTCCAGATCCCTGGGTGGCAAACACACAGTATGCACCGATTAATTACTAAAAAGGTTGGTGGCAGTTCAAACCCATACAGCAGTGCTTCAAATGTAAGGCCTGGTGGTCTGTTTGCAGGCTACTGCAGGCAAGTGAATTCGCTGGAGGGAGCACAGTTCTATTCTGTGGGTCACCAAGAGTCCACTCCACAGCAGCGGGTTTGGTTTTGGCTTTAGGTTCTGGGGACAAGTCAGGTAAACAAAGATCTAGCTGTGCATGAAACTTACAGAGACAGGTCCTTCCAGTTCTGTCCAAGCCCTCAAGCCCTGTCTCTAGCAGAGACCTGCTCCCTCCTCCTGATCTCCACACCAGCTGGAAGGATTTGGCCTTCTTCAGCTCTTAGGAAATGTGGAGTGACGTCTCTTGGGACCTCTCAATTCCAGAATTCCTGAGTATCCACAAGTCACTTCACTAAGGACATCAATTTCTCTCCCTAAAACGGGGTGCTGATGGGCCAAGTCCTCTCCCAGCTCTGATACGCCTCTGTGTGGGTCTCTGCCTGTATTATGGGACATGAAGTCTCTCCTGATGCCTTCCTCCCCCCACCCCCTTTTGCGAGCCAGGATGATACAATTTAGGAACTGTGAACTAGAATACACCGAGGTACGACATGCTTTACAACCCAGGTAAAGATAATCCTTCCTCTGGGGCTGTTTTCCGGCTTGAAGATACAAGGTACGGGGAGGGATGCTAAACACTTTCCAGTCTCGAAAGTCGTCGAAACTTTCTAACTGGAGAACTTATTACAACACCAGCTCCCTCCTTTTCTCCACCCCGGCTTCCACTCTATTCACTCGAAGGTCCCTCTGCACTGAAAACCCGTTAGTGGCATTTCCACCCGGCGGGCTCATGCCCGTTGGGATCTCAAGTTTCCCTCTCTGCAGAATAGGAAGCGTGCTGCTAGACCACTACAGGCTGGCACGTACTACGTGACTTTAGTCCCACATCCCCCGACACCGACATGCTAGGAAACCCAGCTGAACCACCTGCCCTCTCGGCCTCAGTTTCCCGCCTAGGGCTAGGGGGCGGGGTTCAAGGCCTAGGACTCCGAGAGCCCCAGGCAGCCCCAGCCCCCGCCTCCCGGCGCAATCCCGGAGCACGGACCCTACCGCCGCCCTCCCCTCACCATGATGCCCACGCGGACCGGGATCTCCGGCCACTTCCGCCGCCGCCACCGCTCACACCGTTAGCACCCCCGCAGCGCGCCACTAGGCAAAGAGGATTGGCACTGACAAGAGCCAATCAAAGCGTGGATTGTGGGACAGCTACCCAATCCTCGAGGAGAGGGGCGTGGCCTGGTGATGCGAAGCCGTGTTTCTGTCAGAGAAGCCGTAAAGTGCTACGAGAGTGCTGAGAAAGGACGTGAAACAAGATGTGCGGGCGCAGAAGTTATTGTTAGGAAGAACGCATGCGCAGAATGACACCCCCCCCCCCCCCCCCCCCCCCCCCCGGTCTCCTGCGCACCACGCTGTGGTAATAGGAGGTATTGCATTGGAAATGATTTGCCAATAAAGAAACCAAATCCTGGTGGTTGCTGAGTAGAAGCCGAAATCACCCTAACTGGTCCTTAGTGTTCTCATTTCCATGGTGGAAGTTGCTAAGCATTCAGGACCCATGCCTTTTGATTCAGTGGTGAGAATTAAATTGTTTTCTTGATCCTGAGATGCAATCCACAAGATGTAATCGGGAGATGACACCACAATTCGAAGGCATTGATTCTTCGAATAGGTCTGTCTTTGAGAGGGTGAAACCAACTTTCTCCTTGGAAGCTAGGATTTTGAAGCTTCGTCTTACATACTGGGAGCCCATGGCCAGGAGGGACCGGTCCTTGGAGAAGGACATCATACTTGGAAGGGTGGAGAGACAGCGCAGGAAAGTAAGACCCCAGATAAGATGGATTGATACAGGGACAGGGTCAATGGGGTTTGTTGTGTCAGAATTAGTGAAACTGGCTCAGGACAGGACAGGATGCAGAGTTGCTGTACATAGAGTTGCAGGCGTTTCAAAGGCACATAACAACAACAAAAACAACATTCCATACTGGAGGCTTGATCTCCTATAGCAAATACTTCAAGTCTTCCTCACTTTCAGCAAGTAAAGTTGTGTCATCTGCGTAATGCAGGTTGTTAATGAGTCTTCCCCTAATCCTGATGCCACATTCTTTTCATAGAGTCCAGCGTCTTGAATAATTTGCTTAGCATATTATAGGTGTGGCATAAGGATTGATGGAAGAGTCATCAACAACTTGTTATACAGATGACACAACCCTGCCTCCTGAAACTGAGGAGGACCTAAAATGCTTGCTGCAGAAGGTCAGGGACTGCAGTCTTCAATATGAATTGAAGCTCAACATCAAGAAAACAAAGATTCTCACCACTGGGCCAACTGGCAGCATCAATATGGATGGTAAAGAGATTGAGATAGTTAACAGTTTTAGTTTACTTGATTCCACAGTCAACACTCTTGGTAACAACAGCCAGAAAATCAAGAGAATTGCATTGGGAAAGTCAGCTGTGAGGGACCTCTCAAGAGTACTGAAGAGCAAAGACATCAGGCTGGACACTAAGGTGCTCCTGATCCAGGCTATAGTCTTCACAATTACATGCTTTGCATTGGAGAGTTGGACAGTGACTAGGGATGACAGAAGGAGAATTGATGCCTTTGACCTGTGGTGCTGGAGAAGAGTGTTGAATATACCATGGAATGCTAGGAGAACAAACAGGTTTGTCTGGGAGAGGGTGAAGCCAGAGTGCTCCTTGCAGTCAAGGATTCTGAAGCTTCATCTGACATACTTTAGGCATATTGCAAGGAGGAACTAGTCCTTGGAGAGGTACATGGTGTTTGGGAGAGTGGAGGGACTGCACAGGAGAGGAGGACTCTCAATGAGATGGACCGATTCTGTGACTGAGATAGTGGGAATGAGTGTGTTTGAGACGGCGAGTTTGGCATAGGATAGAATGACGTTTAGGGCTCTTGTACATAGGGTCACTATGATACTCAAGCAACTCGATGGCACATAACAACAACAAAGGTTTGGAAAGAAGATAAACCTTGGCAGACACCCTTCTTAATTTTAAACCATGCAGTGGTTTAAAAACCATGCTGTTCAGACAACAGCTTCTTGGTTTTGTTTGTGCATAATTAAATATTCTGGGATTCACATTTTTCTCAATATTTGCCACAATTTGCTATGACACATAGTCAAATGCCTTCACATCGTTAATAATAGTCAATAAAAGTTGTTAACAGTTACAGCTTGCTCGACTCCACAATCAACACTCTTGGCACCAACAATCAGGAAATCAAAAGACAAAGTGCATTGGAGAAGTTGGCTGTTGGGAACTTTCCAGAGTACTGAGAAGCAACGATGTCAGTCTAGAGACTAAGGTGCACCTGATCCAGGCCATAGTCTTTCCAATTACTTACAAAGCATCAGAGAGCTGGACAATGACTGAGGATGACTGAAGAAGAATTGATGCTTTTGAATTGTGGTGCTGGAGGGCGAAACCAAATTTCTCCTTGAAGGCTAGGATTTTGAAGCTCTATCTCACATACTTTGGCCACGTGTCCAGAAGAGACTGGGCCTTGGAGAAGGACATCATGCTCAGAAGAATGGAGGAACAGCACAGGAGAGGAAGACCACATGAGATGGACTGATAGAGTAACTGGGGCAATGAGAGCTGGTAGTGCAGGAGAGGAAGACCCCGATGAGATAGATTGATATTAACTGATAGTAAAAAAAGGATAGTAACTGGGGCGATGGGGGTGGGTGTGTTGGAATAGTGAAACTGGCTCAGGGCAAGGTAGGGTCGCAGGCAACTTGACAGCACATAACAACAACATTTACTAAAGCACAAGTAGA